CGAACTCACGAACCTCAAGATTATGACCTGAGCTGAAGTCGGACAGTTAACCGACTGAGCCACCCAGGCACCCCACCCTTGCACTCTTTATGAATTTGGTCGGCATCCATTTATGCCTGCCCGAACCGTCTTCCCACACCCCTGCATGGAGCTCAGACTGACACACAGCAAAGGTTAAATATGCATAACATAAAATTTCTCACTTTAACCATTTACGAGAGAACTGAGCTGTGCTGGAAGGGGTTCATACCCTAGTCCCACCTGCCAATGAGCTATTTAATCCCATAAGGATAAAATCACTAAATTCTTTAATACTTATTTTTGAATAAATGGCCGCAGATGCTTATTGTGCTTCACATTGTATAACACGTTATTTATGAAAATATAAACTTAACAAGGGGCGCCTGGGTGGCTCAGTCGGTTAAGTGTCTGAGTTCGGCTCAGGTCATGAGCTCACAGTTCATGAGTTCGAGCCCCACATCAGGCTCTGTGCTGACAGCTCAGAGCCTGGAGCCTGCTTGGGATTCTGTGTCTCCCCCCTCTCTGCCCCTCCCCTGCTCGCTCTCTCTCTCTCTGAAAAATAAACAGTAAAAAAAAAAAAGAAATTTAATGAGCCTGTACTGCATGCCAGGGACTAAGCTTAGCCCTCATCTGCTCTGTTATGTAATCCTCACAACTCCCCTCCGAGGCTGGTTTCATTATTCTCATTTGACAGAAGAAGAAACCAAAGTCCAGTGTGGTTAAGAGGCATCAGATTGATACTAGCCAGGTCAGTTGGAGTTGTTCTGGGTGATTGTTAAACCAGATTGCTCAGAGAAGGGAGGATGCTTTTAAGACAGCATGAGGGGGTAGGAAATGTACGTTGAAATCAAGTACGCCTGTGTCTTCATTGCTCACATCTGATTGGTTACAAAAACAAAGACCTGCAATGTCCTCATAGTTTCCTTTTAATCATCACACTGATGCCATCAGGTGGACAAGATCTCAGAAGTGGATCTGGACTAGTTCACAGATCAGAATTACTGACAAACAGCAGCAGGAGCTGCTATAGCACGGAACTGAACACGGGGTTCAGGACCAAATCTCATCAATGAACAAATTTGAAAACTGCGTTTCATAGAGCACATTGAATTTCCCCTGATGCTAATGTGTGATTAAAACGTGAAATGACATAAATGTCTTTTAAAGTCACAGAGGTAATTACCGAAAGTAGCCAGCCACATCACAGCTGGGCATTGTCGGAAGGCCACCGTGTGCTTCAAGTTTACTGTGGCTCAGCAAGTCACACTGTTCCTTTAAGACTTCAGCTTTGGTGGGGCGCCTGGGTGGTTCAGTAGGTTAAGCATCCAACTTCGGCTCAGGTCATGAGTTCACGGTTTGTGGGTCCGAGCCCCACGTCGGGCTCTGTGCTGACAGCTCAGAGCCTGGAGCCTGCTTTGGATTCTGTGTCTCCCTCTCTCTCTGCTCCTCCCCCACTCACGCTCTGTCTTTCTCTCTCTCTCTCTCTCAAAAATAAATAAATATTAAGAAATTAAAAAAAAAAAAAGACTTCAGCTTTGGTTTAGTTCTCTTTAGCTAATGTAAACCTTTGCTGGAATTTTGACTATGGTGGCAACACATAAGCAAATAGCATTCTTTATTTCAATAAACCTGGAATATCTCAACAGTGTGAAGGAATCAATACAATGTTCCTCATGTCCATCTGTCTACACTGAGAAAAACCTAACCCCATGCTTGAGGTGTTATCAGTGTACACAGAGTACGTTACATGAGTCTGATTTCCACACATTCGTGGAACCCTCACAAACACCAAAAGAGAAGATTTACCTCTTTGCTAGGGGTTAAGAAAAAGACATGACAGTAGGACATACATCTTGATAGAAAAATATTTAAAGATTTTAATTCTCTGAATGCCACGAGTTAACATTTTATGATCACCCTTCGAAAATAGGGCATTTGGGAGCAATTTTGAAGTTTTCCAAATCAGTACAAAGCTGATTAAATCCAACGTCACATTCACAGATTGCAAAATGACTTCCTTATAAAAACAAGGAAGCCAGGGTTGGGGTGGGTCTGTCACCAGAGTCCGGGGGCCTTGCCACTCCTTTGTGGAGCTCCTTGGTATTACATGTGTTCCTTAAAGAACCATTTCTGATGTTCCGAGTTGGTGCAGAGCCGTAGAAATGGTATGAAACTGTCACTGAAGGCCTTCTTCTCAGCCTGAACGCATTTATTGGACTGTACGTGAAATAAAGAACCATCCTACAAGAGAGAATAAGCACTGGCTGTTTACCAGAAATACAAATAATTCCTCAGAAAGTAGCTTTTTCCTTAAAATGTGTTAAGAGCTCGGGTGATTTTTTATCATTGCAGAAATATTTACTGAGCACTGTGTTTGCCCCGTACTGAGGCAACTCAGGACTGCCCACGCATAGACAGAGCCAGGAGTGGACAAGCGCGTCAGGCTCGCCAGGGTCCCGGACTCCACCGTCAGGGCGAGTGGTGCCACCTGCTGGCTGCTCTGGGGATCCGTCAGATCCCAAGTCTCCCTACTGCTATTCTTCTCCTTGAGGGAAATTAGGATCAAAGATTCTTTATTAACATCTTCCGCTTCCCTTAGGTCAACTAATTCCATCCCTGGCGATCTCTTTCTCTTAGGTATTTAAATACAGAATCAGGAAACTTGGCTGTAGTCCCAGCTCAGCCAGAGAACAGCTGGGCAAGGGGACAAGTCACCTGAGGACATGGGTTCTATGGGACTGTGCCAATTTCCCCAACCCCAAAAGATCATGGTCCTCTTTAAGGCCTTCCGCTTGTCTTCCTTTTCCCAACTGTTCTGAGTTACCTCAGCGAAACTCTCCCCCATCCTTGAGTCTGTTTTTTTCCTCCACCTCTCTGTTGTAAGCTTTAAGTTCCCTGGGAACTTAATCATGGCTGAGCAAGTGACATACCTGTTCCAGGGAAAGAGAAACCTTTGGGAATAAAATTATAGGCAGAAGAATCTCAAAAATATTAACCCTGAAAACCCTTAAAAGAGTTCAAATGTTGCCTTCAGAGTACCATGAAAGGAAATAATTAAATAGCATCCCTTTTCCCAACCTTCTAAGGAGACTTTACTTTTCCTTAATTGGTCACTGAAATTTAAGATACAATTTTAATGATGTTTCAAACCAATTTTATGATTTCTAGCTTACATTACTGTGTAAGCCCCTTGAGGGCTTACAGTTAGAAGAAACAAGAGAAGGGGATGGAGGCGGGCGCTGAAGAGAACCACAGACGGGGAGCTTGCAGAAGTATCTTCCCTCTTATTTCTGATATCAGACGGATAACACCACGGCGCAGGCTTGCTCAGGTAGCCCACAAATTTCACTGATAATCATATCTTCTACAGGAAAATGTACTCCAACTTTTAATCATGCTTAGAATTAACCCATTTATTAGCAAATTAGACCAATCTTTCCATCCCTGAGGCCAGGCTGGGAATGAAAGCTTCCTATGGAGATAAAAATAAACTCATTTCGTCTTTTGAATTATTTTCTTTGGATTTACTCCCTCAAGTGCTTTTTAGTGAGTCAAAAGATTTGACAGATTCACGAGTCCTGTTACAGCTTGTGGCCAAGTGTGGCGGGGCTAGTGCCTAACGGGCCTGAAATAATACCCGGTTCCAAATCAACATCAACTATTCTGATGGAGAGCCAGCTCCATCAGAGAGATGTTTTCTTGGTGATTACCCTGCAGGTAACAACTGATCTCTATAGAGCTTTATGGTTTCCAAGGACTATTTCTGCTGTCCATCTAGTCCACACTAGAGGTAGACAGGCTGCTATTATTGTTCCCATTTTACAGCTGGGAAAAATGAGGCTTAAAGAAATGGAGTAGCTTGCCCCTGGATCTAACCTCACATCCTCACGCTTTGGCTATTCGTTTCACTCATTTTAAGCCCATTTCATCCTTGAGTGTGTTTGCGACAGCTCCTCACTCCGGGACTATGGCTCACGGTCTAAGGAGGCCAGAACGACTAGATGGGAGTCAAAGCACTCCTGATGCTGGATGCCGGGGCCCCGACCATACTGTTGGGTCCATGGTGAACTCCCTGGTCTCCCCAGATGTGGCCGCATCCCTGAGACCCTCGAGGACTGTGCCAGGGAACACTCTTTACCTCCACTCCCCCTTCTGCAGCCCATGCACCGAGAGCAAGGAGGGCAGCAGATGGCTCACTTACCTCCCGCAAGATGAACTTCTGATTCTCTGGGGCAGTTTCCTGGCAGAGTTGCATGATGAGAATATCCATTCCTGCGTCCACAGCAATGCAGGCCTCTGGCTGGTGAGTGTTATAGCGTATTTCATTCCGGGACGTGTACTCGAAAAACTAAAAATGGAGCAGCCAATCGTGTGTCAGTTACTCTCTGATGTGGAGAGAGGGAAATGGCTGGACGAGAGCCTGGGGTGACTTAGAGCTGGAAGAAACTCAAATCCCACCCACTCATCTCTAGGTGTCTGACACTGCTTAAGGCAGGAAGGCTTTAAAGGTCCAGGTAGCCAACGTTTCCCTCCTCTGGGTCTCCTGCGTCTCCTGCGTCCTCCACGGGCCCGCCCTGGTGGTTTATCTGCCTCCTGGGGCTGGGATCTGTTGCAATTCACAGACCTTCCAGAACTTGCTCCCCTGACCAGCCTGAAGCTCAGCACTTAACCCAGACAGACCTGCCCCGGCCACCAGCAATTGCCCTAAACACCACTTTACATGGCACTATCCATCAAAACCTAGAATTCTGTTCAAGCATTAATTCTAAGGAAGTCATCGGACATGCAGATCTGTTGCTCCCCACCCCGCCACTTTTGTTTCTGACAAGAGGTTAGTGGCATGGTTACTTTACAATCAAAAACAGGCAGGCAGGGAATCAGTTAACTAAACAGTAATACAGCCACACAAAGGATTATCAAGAGGCCATTAGGAATGACATTCTCAAAGGATGTCTAATAACACGTGAAAAGTATGACGAAATGGAAAGAATGGAATATAAAACATATAGACATTATGATAATAACTATTTAAAACACATGATCTAAAGGCCTTACATAAAGGAAGATGAGAAATAACTAGGTCTTAGTTCTAATGGTGGTTGCAGGGTCCTGTCATTCACTTACTGCTTATATTTTTTTGCATTTCCCAAATATTCTGCAAAAGCATATAGTACCCTCATAATGCAAAAAAATATATATATATACATCAAATATTTAATTAAAAAAAATTTTTTAACGTTTATTTATTTTTGAGACAGAGAGAGACAGAGCATGAACGGGGGAGGGGCAGAGAGAGAGGGAGACACAGAATCGGAAGCAGGCTCCAGGCTCTGAGCCATCAGCCCAGAGCCCGACGCGGGGCTCGAACTCACAGACCGTGAGATCGTGACCTGAGCTGAAGTCAGAGGCTTAACCGACTGAGCCACCCAGGCACCCCTCAAATATTTAATTTAAAAAAAAAGAGAGACTTCCCCTCATTTCTCTCTTTAAAGACCCCACACAAACGCTCCCTTGAACATTCAGGCTCCCACTGTCTGTTTTCCCCTGGCTCAAGAATGTCAAACTATAGAGAAGCAGCACCTACCTGGTTCTGACCCATTCCGTGACAGTGGTAGAGAAGGACCTGGTGTCCCACGATTTGGTTTTCATTGGGAGGGTTATAGTCAAAGCAGTAATCTCTCAGTCCTTTGTTCTGGAGCTAAACAAAACATAAAGGTGGCATTTTGGTCCAGATTTATACACAACAACAGGTTCCACCCAAGGCTCCCACGGTAATGACTCCATTGGAGAGGAGTCATTGAGTCAAGAACCGGACTTACTGGGTAAGAGCTCCTTAGATTTTTAGTTTTGAAAGTGCCTTCCCATTCTATACCATAGGCAAGAATCATAACCCCCATTTCTAAAGATAAATCTGAGTTGCAGAGAGATTAACTCTTTATGACCTGAAAGCTCTTATCTCTCCATTTCTCCTTGGTGCAGACTTATTGCTGCACTGGTCCGTGCAGAGCTGGGTTGCTGCCTCACACATGTACCAAGGACCCCTGCAAGCAGGCATCTGCAAAAGACATCCTGTGTGAGAGACTCACCATTTTCCAGATGAGAAGTCCACCATTCTAGACTATAGGAACAGCACAATACAGAGCTGATGGCCCAATGTCACACGAGTGGAGATGCCTGAGTCTTGAATCCAGGAACTCAGACCCCAAGTCCAGTGCTCTCCCCATCACTCAACACTGTCTAATCTAATGCCACCTCTAAGGTACCTTTTAGATCTAAAACCCTTCGATCATTCCAAGAGAAAAAAATCATGCTCCCGCCTCCCTTTTAGTAGCCTCCAGGGAAAGACATACACCTTCCAAATCTCTTTCTGGAGAGTTCAAAGACCCCTCAATGAACTCCTCATGAATCCCTCTCCTGCCCTGGCCCTCGTCCACCCTTGACTAGCCTGTTTCTGAAGATAACACTCAGTCATATTGAAAGAAGATTCCACAATCCAATCCACTAGCTCACAAAGCACAGACTTCCATGTTCCTGAAGTCCCTTTGCTTGTGAAGAAATCTGGTTAGAATAAGCAGAACACCTCAGATTTGGAAGGGCTCAAATGTCATCTAGCAAATCAGTCCCCACGCTTGACCACCAAAGGACTGTGACCTCAAATGAACTCCCTATGTTCAGAAAGATTTGAAATGGAAAAAACACTAAAAGAGAGGTGGGAACCCCTGAAAATTAAAACTGAGATAAACTAAGCTAGCTGTATCAAGTTGGTGAAACAGAAAAAAGAATGATATTAAATGACTTTAGAACATTCCCCGCTGTTTTTGTTTTTTAGAACATTCCATGTTTGATTACATTTCCTTAGTGAACTATATTCTATAAACAAATAGAGCAGCAAAGAAATCCTAAACCTCATTCAGTATCAACTGTCAGTGGTAATAGTGAATTATTATTTTGAAACTATTTTAAATATCTTTTAAGATAAAGCAAATAAATAATATGGTAATATTTTTGAAACTAAGATTTTCAGTATAAGAAAAAAGTAATACAAGTATAATATCGAAGACGAAAAAATCCTGTAAGATTACATTTAAATTTGAGATATCAGTATGAGTTCATGATTTGTTTCTCAAAAATATGCATTTCCTTTCTCTACCCACTGAAAAACTATAGCACTGTGCACCCCACATGGTACCCACTGGCCATATGTGGCCACTGGGCACTTGAAATGTGACCAAGTCCAAATTGAGATATGCAGTGAGTGTAAAATACACAGCAGGTTTCAAGACAGTATGAGAAAAAGACGTAATGCATCTCGATAAATTTTTACATCAACTACATGTTGAAATGATAATACTGGGGATACATTGAATTAAATAAAATATATTATTAACTTCACTTGCTCCTTTTTAAAATATGGTTACTAGGGGCACCTGGGTGGCTCAGTTGGTTGAGCGTCCAACTTCAGCTCAGGTTGTGATCTTGTAGTTTGTGGGTTCAAGCCCCACATTGGGCTCTGTGCTGACAGCTCAGAGCCTGGAGCCTGCTTCAGATCTCCTTCTCGGTCTGTCACTCTCCCACCTGTACTCTCTCTTTCTCTCAAAAATAAACATTAAAAAAACTTTTTAAATAATAAATAAATAAACCTTAAAAATAAAGTTGAATATAGTTAAATTTTTAATTACGTATGTGGCTAGCATTATGTTTCTGGTGTAGAGTGTGGTCTAGAGACAGAGACCACAGCTGGCATCCGGATTGTGGGCTCTGAACACTGCCCCCCACTGAAAGGGTCAGGGGCTCTGGGAGGGATGGCAGCAAATGTAGAAGATGAGCGTGGCCGGGATCAAGGAAGCAATCAAGCTACTACAAGGGGTCAAGATCACAGAAGCCAAAATGAAGAGGTTCTCACTAGCTGAAGATGGGCAACTTGAACTGTTCAAAGAAAAAAACAGAAACCAACAGATGAACTGCAGCACACTGACCATGTAAACCCCACTGGTTTACAGTGATGCTCAAGAAAAGAAAAAGCCAACAAGCAAATGAGCCAACAAACAAACTGGAGGAAACTGAAGTGCCAATTCTTACTCTGAAAACAGGCAAATAAAGAGAAGGACTTAAAAATTTGTTATGCCTTTTCTTGTTTTTAATTTTTTAAGTTTATTTTTTTATTTTGATAGAGAGAGAGAGAGAGAGAGAGAGAGAGAGAGAGAGAGAGAGAGCGCAAGCTGGGGAGAGGCAGAGAGAGAGAGAGCAGGGGAGGAGCAGAGAGAGAGAGAGAGAGAGAGAGAGAGAGAGAGAGAGAAAGAGAGAGAGAGAATCCCAAGCAGGCTGCACACAGTCAGCTCAGAGCCTGATGCGGGGCTCAAACTCATGAACTGTGAGATCATGACCAGAGCTAAAATCAAGGGTCAGATGCTTAACTGACCGAGTCACCCACTCATCCCTAAAATTTGTTATGCCTTTTCTGAATGAACTCTAAATTTCACGAATACCAAATGGTCCCAGTTAACAAGGGAACGTTCTTCTTTACAGAAACATCTCAGCTAAAAATGCAGAGGAAATGAAAGGATTAGAAAAAGCACCATTTGACAATGCCACTTGAAGTTTGGGTCTAGGTGATGATTATCAACAGTTACAGAAAACACAAGAGAGGATGCTGACATGGCCCCTGATAGTGGCTGGTCCCGGACAGGCCCCACGGACCCGCTGATCAATGTCATCGCTAGAAGCAGGATGACCAGAGGTTAGGTGCTCCTGCGATGATGCTGCAGGAGCACAAAACACATCTGTGAAGTGTTCTTGCCATAAAAGGTTGATGATTCCATTCCAATCAGACCTTTGGACCTCACTTCCATTTTATTTTTTTTTATTTTTATTTTTTTTTAATTTTTTTTTTCAACGTTTATTTATTTTTGAGACAGAGAGAGACAGAGCATGAACGGGGGAGGGGCAGAGAGAGAGGGAGACACAGAATCGGAAACCGGCTCCAGGCTCCGAGCCATCAGCCCAGAGCCTGACGCGGGGCTCAAACTCACGGACCGCGAGATCGTGACCTGGCTGAAGTCGGACGCTTAACCGACTGCGCCACCCAGGCGCCCCTCTCACTTCCATTTTAAGAACTATGGGCGAGAAGCATGATTTAAAAGACACCACAAGGAAACAATTAGGTAATTCCAAGGGTGAGATGTGCTACTGGACAACGGATGCTGTTTTTGCAACAATATTAGCACAAGTGGGGAGGAGGAGGGAAGAGGTCTGCCTTAGATGAAGGAGACGTGGGAGGGAGGACTAGCAGCCAACCACAACGCGAGACCTTGTCTGGACCCCAGGTGGAACCAGCCAGTTACCCTGAGAGAGGTGTGAAAAAGCAGGGGAATGTGGGTAAGGGCTAGATGTGGGTAAAGGCAAGAAATTACTGCTCACTCGACGGGGGTGTGATAATGGTCTGCGGTTAGAAGATACCGTCCATACAGACGTGCACGGGGAAGCGAATGGGAGTGAAATGACAGGATGCCTGGGGTTTGCTTGAGCAAAGAAAAACATGAGAGGATGCAGCAGAGGAGACAGAAAGCAAGAGAGGCAAAATCATCATAATTCTAGAAGCTCGGGAACAGGGTTCATTACATCATTCTCTCTGCTTGAACCTTTTCATAGCAAAGACTGAATTTAATGCGTTAACGTCCTGCTTTGTGTTTATCAAAGACTCCCAGAATGGAACATGGGCACTTCTGATCAACACGACACAGCAGAGGACACCTTCCTAAGTTGGTGTCGTTCCTCCCCAAAGCCAAAGGCACTGGACATTTTAGTTGTCTTCATCCCAGAGACATTTCTTTCAGGTTCTTTGAAATAACCGAAGTGACACTTCTCCCTCTACTACTGCCTTTATCAATCCCCGAGCTGGGAATTATTAACTGGTCCAGCCATCTGAAGCTTGAAGTAATGTGAAACCGGACATGGAAACACCAGGTGAGCCTCAGTTTCTTTATCTATAAAATGGGAGGCTTATCGTCACCAATTTGGAGATGGCTTCTAGTGCTGACATTCTGGACTTGAGGCCCAGACACGGGGAGAAGGAAAGACAGTGGATTAAAGCAGGGAGGGGAGAAGGGGTGAGGAAGGCTAGCAGTCCCCATGAAGGGGCCTTTCTTGGCTAGGATTTATTGGTCAGGGAAGCCCCTGCCCACCAGAGGCCCGCCTCACTCACCATCCCAAAGAAGCCAGGCCTGTCTTCAGGCACGTGCAATTCTGGGTACACGTTTTCCAAGAACCACCTGAAGTCCTTACACTGGAGCTTTGCACGGAGCTGCTTCCTCTCTGTCACATCGCCAAAGGGTTCCTGAGGAAACAGCAAAAGCAGTGAGTCCCTGCAGGGCACGTACTTCCTACCAAAGCCTTCTCTCCACGGATGCTTCCCTCCTCTGCAACGTGTACCGAGAACCCACTGTGTGCTGGGTCCTGTACAGGCTCAGAGGGTCAGACCAGCCTCAGACACAGCGACAGCACCTTGGCAGAAGAGACCATCACACAAACAACTGCATTCTCGGGCACTCTCGCTACAAGGAGGTGTGGCCAGGTGCTCTAGGGAAGGACCTGGTAATGAATTACTTCTGGTAATGAAGTCAGGGAGCCGAGTCCTGGGGCTGCGTCAGCTCCCTGGACCCGTGCATCTGCCCCATCGATGAGTGTGTGATCACAGACCAGTGGACGTCAGTCGAGTACTACACCCTGACATTCTGAATTACTGCTGATACCTGAAGCGTTCACTTTCAAACACAGGTGAATATTCTCAATGTAACCATGTACATAGACCTTATGTGCTCAACATGCTGAAGTCTGAACATATGCTTACAATGGTAAGTGCCAAGTGCTGCAGTGAAAAATACTCGTGGAAGTTTAGTTTTCTGGACAAAACAAGTGATTAAGAACTTCTAAATAATTGCGGCACCTGGGTGGCTCACGGCATGATCTCGCAATTCGTGAGTTCAAGCCCCATGTCGGGCTCTGTGCTGACAGCTTAGAGCCTGGAGTCTGCTTCAGTTTCTGTGTCTCCTCTCTCTGCCTCTCCTCTGCTCGCACTCTGTCTCTCTCTCTCTCTCTCTCTCTTTCAAAAATAAATAAACATTAAAAAAATTTTTTTTAACTTCTAAATAATTAAATAAAGCAAGCATCTATTTAGCATAGCCACAAGAGCAGTGCCGAGCACTATTACTGTCCTTGCAATATGATGTTAAAGTATTAAAATTTAACAGGCTAAATATTTAACAAAATGGTAATGTCAGGAAAACGTCTGAGCAAAATTTCAGAGTTTTACTTATTTCCCAGAGGGCCTTCCTTTGATGAGTCATTGTGCCCTCATCTTCAACCAAATATCCCTTTTAACACTCGGCCACAGGCATCCAGACAAAAGGTGTACGTGGGGCCCCTCTAATATGTCATTCTTTGGGAAGCCTCAGGAAGAGAGAGCTGTGGGTTCCAGACTGGGTAATGGGAAGGAGCAGATGTTTCCACCCTGCAGCCTTGGGCATGACAGAGGAAGCAATGACCCTGGAGCCCAGAGGCAGAAAGGGGCCAAGGTCAGGGGCAGGTCCACAGGGCTCTGCAGAGCAGGGAGTGGGTTCTACGCACCCCAGGCTCAGTTCTGCCCACATCACCCACGAGGCCTTGGGCAAGCTCTCTGAGCCTCAGTTCTGGCATCTAAAATGAGAATTGGGGCGCCTGGGTGGCTCAGTAGGCTGAGTGTCTGACTTCCTCAGGTCATGATCTCACAGTTCGTGAGTTCCAGCCCCACGTAGGGCTGACAAGCTCAAGCTCAGAGCCTGGAGCCTGCTTCGGATTCTGTGTCTCCCTCTCTCTCTGCCCCTCCCCTGTTCAAACACAGTCTCTCAAAATTAAATAAACATTAAAAAAATAATAATAAATAAAAAATGAGAATTTCATAGCTATCCTGAAGGGCTGCTGTGAGGATTCAGAAAAAGAGGTTTACATTTTCATTTTAGTTGATGCTGGTGCAGAGTGGGCACCCTGTCCAGGGGCCTGTAGAGCTGGCCAGTGCAGAGGCAGTGGACCTATTTGCTAAAGCTTATTTGTAACCCTAAAACCACTACCACCACCATCATCTGCAAACACATACAGAGAGGGATAAAAAATCTGAGTCACCCAACGTGACGCTCCTAGCTGAGATCATGTCTCAGCTCTCACGCTGTAAACAAGTGTCCTGTTCATCGCCCACCTAGTGCCACATTTTGCTGCTTTGTGTTGGTGACCTCACTGTTTAAAAGGCCCCCAAGCATGGTGCTGAAGGGCTGGCTAGTGTTCCTCGGTGCAAGAAGGCTGTGTTGTGCCTGGCGGAGAAAATACGCGGATTAGGCACGTGTCACAGTGTTGTTGGCCATGAGTTCAATGCAAACAATCTTTCGACAGAAATATACACAAAACCACGTATTGTATACTGTATGTATTGATCGGTTGGCAAAAATGTCAACCTGCAAGAAGCCTGAAGGAACCTAGCACCGTATTTCTCTGAGAAGCAGTGGCTCAGTAGCCTTGAATCAGTGTTTGCAATGATGACACAGACCATAATTACTGTAAATGATGAGAATCAACATGAATGTATTATTATAAGTGGGGGGATAAAGTTTTCCCATACTTGTATCTATTTCTGGAACCAGGTCCACTATGGCGGGGAGGCCAGAATCAGCTGCTTTTGTTTGGATGAGGCCAGCTGGGATACAGGTGGGCCGGGGAACTCACCAGGCGGGCATGGGGGTTGCGATGGTAGTAGAGTTCTTTAAATTCATCCATCCACACTTCAGCTGCTCGGACACTGTTGGCCAGAGCCTTATTGCGGGAGTAGGGAGCTTGCTTGGGGAAAACGTGGCCAACGTGAGAGCACGGGTGTGTTTCCAAGGTCCCACCGCACTGCCAGATCTGTGCAAAGAGCAGGAAGGAGGCCAGGTGGGTGAGTGGCGGGGCAGGGGGAGAGAAGAGAGGGGGTGGTGGCGCAGAATGGTGAGCTGCTGGCCCACCGTGCCCGCAGCAAGGAGGCCGGGCACACAGACATCATGATGAACACTGCCAGGCCTCACCCTCCATGGGGTAGGAGGCCACCTCCCCAGCACATTCAGGACACAGGATGCAGTCAAAGAGCAAGAACACAACCCCAAAGACAAACAAGCCGCCGGGAGCAAGATCCCAGAGTCCATGCACTAGAGCTCATGCACTTGACTCACAGGAGTACCCATAACTGACCTCACTGGGAACCCATTACTCATTATGCAAAACACAGGCTCATTACCTGATCTCCTAGCCACAGAAGATAGGAAAGCAGCGAGTAAGGAGAGAGGTTTGGAAGGGGAAAGGAAGAACTTCTAGAGGCAGAGAGCAGCCTGACACCTAGGGAAGAGGCAGAAAGACCATTAAAAGCACATCCTAAACCTCAACAGGCTGACTTGTCTGAGACCAGCTCATGCTGGGGCACAGGGCCGTGAAGACCCCACGGTTCCCAGGATGTGAGACCGAGGAGAGTATCTGGTACTTATAATGGGGGGTGTGAGTCCTCAGCGGAGGGCCAATTCTTATCAACTCTCTCTAAGCAGGAAACCATATAAAATACTACCAAAATTTAAAATTTTCTGTTAAAAACTACAGACGTTAACATAAAATGTTGATACTCAAAATGCAGGATTCGGTTAACTGGAAAACCCACTGAAATGCTAGTGGCCTCTCAAAGGGGCATCCGTGGGACACAAGCAGCAGAATCAGTAAATGGGCTTTTCCCAAAAAGCAGATTCCTGGTCCCTACCAAAAATCTATCAAGCCTGACTTTCTGGAGACTGTACCTATAAATGTGTCTTTTTAAACAAGTTCTTTGTTAAACAATTCTTACATGTGGCAAAGTCTGAAGGTCACTGTGCTAAACAGGTTATTTCATAAGTAAATAAGCAAATCAAGACTCCACAAGATGGGTCTGGGAAGCAGGGGCCTGGGTGTCAGCCCCATCTCTGCCACTCACTGTGTGGGTGACCTTGAGCCAGTCACTTCCCCTCTCTGCGCCCCAGTCTCTCCCTGCTGTAGTAAGAGAAAAGAACTAGGTGACCTGCAAGGCCCTTCCCTGCCCCAAATCTATGAAAAGTACAATTTTTTAAAAGTTCAAACAAGAAGGCAAGCATGTTTATAGAATGTGCACGCCACTACTATCCTCTTTCAGGATCGTTAGATAAAAACCATCAACATGGAAGAAAAGTCTGCCAGGTTCTCCTGGAAAATCCCATCATTCCCAGAGAGAGAGAGAGAAAGAGAGAGAGAGAGAGAGAAGGGACAAGTGAAGGATGAGTCCAAAGAGAAGACTGGAATACTTACCCTAAAGGAGAATTCGAGGTTTTCTCCGCCCCAAACTTCCATTCCTGTATCATAAGACCCCAGATATTCAAAATATTTCTTACTCACAGCAAACAGCCCTCCAGCCATTGTTGGGGACCTAGGAGAGTGTGATAATCACATTGCAGTGTGAGCAGCAGGTGAACTGTCTGTCGGGAGCCCTCCAGCCTGCCCAGTCGTCTCTAAGCACATCCTGACTTTACGCTCTGTACCAGGCCTTGTGCTGGGCCGGGAGGCATAGATGTGCCCCACGGTCCCTGCCCTAGGAGGCTCACAAACATCTCACCAGGCAGCACTGTGTGGGCACAGAGGGGAGGGCATGGGGCAGGTGGGCAGGGTTCAGTTTCCCAGAGGAAATGAGGCCTGAAGAACACGGAGGAGTTGGCAGAGAAAAGGAATGGAATGTTTCTCCAAGAAGATACCAGCATGAGCACTGGCCTGAGGGTGAGATAAAACCTTGTACCTCTAGAAGCACAGACAACCCAGAGAGTTGAGGAAAGAGACAGGCTCCCCAAGAGGATGGCTAGCGCTGGGCTGTGGTGGCCTTGGTCACAGGGTCACAGGGCAACACAGATGCCCTTTGGAGCGTAGAAGACCACAGAAGGCAGCTCTCATCTCAAAGCTCCTCCAGGGCCCATTCCTCTCCTGCATGAGTGGCCTCCTTCCAGGACCCCGATGGCCACTTTTGCCTTCTTCTTCACCCAGCCTTGTTTTCTCCCCCGCAGGTTCCTCTGGTTCTAGAAATGGCCCAAGCCTTCTGTCCTACCACAGCAGAAAGCTGAAAGGTCAACACACCAAGACGTGCAGATGCCAAGGAATGTATTCAGAGGTAGAGAAACTGTACATCATCAAGGGTCTAACTGTTTAAAAAGGTTAAGGTCTCCCAGCAGTGCTTCTGGGCCTTGACAAAGTATTCGCTTTCCCTGCATTCCAAGCTCTGGGCCAATGAGAAAAGGACAGCAAGATTCCTTGTGGAAGGGAAGGCTCTAGACTACAAAGCACTTCCACGTGTTTCATCCCAAAAATCTAAGGGGTAGGCAAGGTGGATATGCTTGTACCTATTTCACAGGTGAGGAAACTGAGACCCAGGGATATTATAGGAAGGGAAGAGGAGGTGGCCATGACATCCCCGAGCACATGTGTGTGATGGGGAGGAGGGGACCATGGGAGTACATGTCAGCATCCCAGGTTGGATGTATGAACCTGGATAAGACCCTTCCTATTCTGAGCCTCAGTTTACAAATCTGTTCAAAGTTGAGTAGGATGTCACTCAGGACTCCTACAGAAGCCGGGGTGTCACCACAATCCCTGCCTTCCCCATTCTCATTCAGTCTCTCTCAGTTCGTCCACCACATCATCTCTGGAGTACCCTGTTTCTCTCCATCTTCTCCTGCACCATCATTCCTGACTCAAAGATTATGATGCTTCCTAAAGATGTCCCTGCCCACTGCCCCGCCCCCTCCAGGCCCCTTGCCAACATGGCATCTAGCAATCTTTAAAGAATGCAACAGGCAGGGTCATTTCCAGCTCAACTCCCTTTAGTGGCTTCTATTCTCTCAGGGTAAAGTCCAAAGCCCCATCCTTGGCCTTCTAGGCTGGATGTGACTTGGCCTTGTTCATTTCTCTACCTCCATCTCGTTTTCTTTGAATTTATTTATTTATTTATTTTTGAGGGGGGGGGCATGCAGAAGCAGGGGAAAGGCAGAGAAAGAGAGAGAATTCAAGCAGGCTCAACGCTGACAGTGTGCCCCACATGGGGCTCAGACTCACGAACCGTGATATGATGACCTGAGCCAAAATCAAGGGTCGGACACTTAACTGACTGAGCCACCCAGGCACCCCTCTACCGCCATCTCTTAAGACTGTCTCCACAGGCATCTCCCTCTGGCCAGTGGGTCATCTCAAGGTCAGAACTCAGAAGTCCTCCTGCCAAACATGGGTGCAGATCTAAGACACCATTTCCAGCTCAATGCACCAGCAATAAAGCTGATGTCCGATCTCCCTCTGCCTGACCCCTATATCTACCTCCCATTTGCTCCTGAAATTGGAAGGGGAGGAAGAAACTTTTATATTACTTCAACACTTCAAAGAATGAGAGCAACCAAGCCCCCGCTGAACCCACTCTACTCAGACCCAGGCTCACCAACTAGCCAAAGGTGGCCCATTCACCCCCCAGGTCCACCTATCCCCCAGTTGAAAAAGGACCTGACAGGGGCGCCTGGGTGGCGCAGTCGGTTGAGCGTCCGACTTCAGACAGGTCACGATCTCGCGGTCCATGAGTTCGAGCCCCGCGTCAGGCTCTGGGCTGATGGCTCGGAGCCTGGAGCCTGTTTCCGATTCTGTGTCTCCCTCTCTCTCTGCCCCTCCCCCGTTCATGCTCTGTCTCTCTCTGTCCCCCCCCCCAAAAAAAAAAAGTTGAAAAAAAGAAAAAGGACCTGACAGTGTGTCCTCAAAATGTTAAGCATGAAATTATCATATGACCCGCCAATGGTGCTCCTAAGTATATACCTCAAAAACCTGAAAACAGGGACTCAAACAGTAACAGTAAATCAATATTCACAGCAGCATTGTTCACAATAACCACATGATAGAAACAACCCAAGTGGCCATCAGCAGGTGAATGGATAAACAAACATGGATGTCTATACAGTAGAATATTGTTCAGCCATTAAAGGAACGGGGTTCTGGAAGAACCTTGAAAACACTTATGTGGAGTGAAAGAAGCCAGACACAAAGGGACAAATACTGTGTGATTCCACTTATACGAGCAATCTAGACTAGGGAAATCCATTGAGAGTACAATAGAAGTGACCAGGGGTTGAAGAAGAGACAGAGGAGTCATTGCTCAATGGGTATAGGGTTTCCACACAGGACAATGAAAAAGTTCTGGAAGTGACGGTTACTCAATACTGTGAATGTGCTTGATGCCACTGAGCTAAACACTTTAAAAAATGGTTGAAGTGAACAATTTTTTTTGTTATGCATATTTTACCACAGTTTTTAAATACGTAAATAAATAAAATATACCAACATAAAATTCATGTGGGTGGCAAAGATTTTTTAATAAAAATAAAATTATGCTCAGGCACCTGGGTGGCTCAGTCGATTAAGCATCCGACTTCGGCTCAGGTCATGATCTCGCAGTTCATGAGTTTGAGCCCCACTCTGGGCTCTGTGCTGACAGCTCAGAGCCTGGAGGCTGCTTCAGATTCTGTGTCTCCCTCTCTCTCTGCCCCTCCCCCACTCATGCTCTGTCTATCTCTCTCTCAAATATAAATAAAGATTTTAAAAATAAAATAAAATAAACAAATGCTCTGGAGAAAGTGGGGGAACAACAGCTAACCAGCCCTCCCCAGGTACCCTCACTGACACGGTGGCCAGACGCAACGAGGCACGCTCAGAGAGTGAGTGGCCAGAGGTTAGCCTCTAACCTGATGACATCGATGGGCGACCGCATCCGCGTCCTCTCCCTCTCAGGAACCACGTGCCACGTGAACACCAGCCTCCAGTCGAAGCCGCCGATCTGTGGCTCCCCGGCATTGCCCAGGTACTCAAAGGTGTTCCAGTCAATCACATCGATCACAGGGCACACCACTGCCGACTCCTCTTCGTGGATCCTGCGAACATCCGGGATGCCCCATGTGCCTCTCCATGAGGACAGGTGGCGGGAGGACAATCAGGGAATTTGGGGATGACTCTCCTCATCCTTCCGCGAGGAGGGAGGAGAGCCCATGTGAGGAAGGCCTACATCTCTCGTTGCAGGTGTCTGCAGCCACATGAGGCCCTGGCGGGTGATCCTCACAGGGAACGCTCAGGTGGCGGGGGAGACCAAGGAAGGAAGGATTCTGGCTTGAATAGGAAAAGTCCCCAGCTTCAATATTCAGATTCCATCTATGGACATACTGGATAAATCTGAGTCCCTCCATGAAAGTCAAGACATGTGAAAACCAAAGGTCACTTTTAAGACAGAAAGCAGATTTTGCAATTTCTAAAGACTGCCAAGAGGGACCTCATTTAGTCACAACGAAATGTCTTAGTGTTGAGAACTAATTATCCCTCTAAAAAACAGAGATGTGCCCAGACCAAAGGATCAGCTTTGGAGTTAGAATAAAAATTCGAATCCTGCCCCTTATTTGCCGTGTGACATTAGCCAAGTCACCTAACCTCTCAGAACCTGTCACCTGTGGGTGACCCTGGAATGATAATATCTACTCTTAGGGTTAAGGTGAGGACACCCTTGGGGGATGTTTATAAGGTGCTTGGCAGAGAACCTGGGACCTACTGCTAGTCTTTTCTTGTTCTCTTTATTACTGTGAAACAGGTTACAATACTGTAGAGAAAAATGCTGCAGATATCAGCCCATGTGCCTGCTTTAGCTATTCTCTCTGCAAACATGATCACAGACCCAACCATCCTTCAGCATGCTGCCATATCATGTGGGTTTTTTTTTTTTTTTTTTTTTTTTTTTTTTTTTTTGCACTTGACAGTGCACCAGAGAAGATGAAGTGGGACTGGCCTGTGTGTGAACACTGGATTTCTCTGGGCTACATTCTGGGGGCTTTTATCTGGAATTTGAGACCTAAAACATCATAAGTCACACAGAGCAATGTGAAGAAACAGAGGTCGACCAGACTTGAGTTGTAAGTGTCCTTAGAATAATCCCAGAAAGTCAGAGGGGGCAAAGTGAATACCACACTCAGGTAAGAATTACAGTATTAGGCGAAATTGCATTGTTCAGGATAGACTGTATGAATAAAACCTGTGCATTCACTAACTGAGGAAGATTTAATTTTTAAATGTTTATTTATTTTTGACAGGGGTAGGGGGTGAAGGACAGAGAGAGAGGGAGACAGAGGATCCAAAGCAGGCTCTGCACTGAGAGCGGAGAACCCGATGTAGGGCTCGAACTCACAAACCGTGAGATCATGATCTGAGCCAAAGTCAGAGGCTTAACTGACTGAGCCACCAGGTGTCCCTCCCCCCCCCCCGAATTCTTTAAACAAACTTAGGGCACTCTTAAAAGGTTTGAGAAGACAAGTGGCTGACCTGCTGGGCAGGTTCAAAGAAGCTCCTTAGCCCCTGACAGAGACCAGAAGAACTTGTGACTTGCAATCAAACTGGTTGGGTGGCCTAATTTTTATAAGAAAAGGAAAACTGGGGGAGCCAGCATTGGAGTAAAGGACCCTGAACCATGGTTACAAAGTGTGCAGGCCCAGTAACAGCTTGCCCCGTGGGTGGGGGGTGGGGGCAGGCATGCTACTGGCATGTGGGGCAGAACCAGTCTTTGTTGTGCAGGGCTGAACTGCACACTGTGGGACGTCTGGCATCCCCAGTCCCCGGCTCATAAAATGCCAGGAGCACCACCCACCTGACTTGAAAACCAAAGAATATCTATTGCCCAAAGCCCCTGGAGGAACATGGTTACTGCTCCTGTCAGACCGTCCAAGGGACAGGGAGGGTTCCCATTTGGGACCATCTGAGGGACCAGCGTGTGTCAACTCTGGTACACACCTAGGTCCCTGGGGAGCTTCTGAAGCATCCAGAAGCCCAGGGCCACCTCTAGAGATTCAGATCCAGTGGTTGGCCATGAGACCAAGGAGTTGGTATGCTTTAAAAAAATTTTTTTATGTTTATTTATTTTGAGAGACAGAGTGTAAGCAGGAGAGGGGCAGAGAGAGAGGGAGACACAGAATCTGAAGCAGCCTCCATGGTTTGAGGTGTTATCACACGGCCCAATGCGGGGCTAGAACTCATGAACAGTGAGATCATGACCTGAGCCGAAGTCGGATGCCTAACCGAATAAGCCACCCAGGCACCCCAGGAGTTGGTATGTTTTACAAGTTACCCAGATGGGGTTCTATGGGTAGCCAGGGTGGAGAATCCTTTTATCTGGGGATATGGAACAAGGACTTGTCTATGGGGAGGGCTGCCTCACCCATAGACATCCTCTGAAGGATGGGCTGGAGTGGAATGCTGGGTGGTATTAGTGCATCAGGGGACTTCAGATCGGCCTAGAGGCAGCCATGTGTGTTCACAGTGGGGAAGGGGTGAAAGGCAAACCCACTGGTCCAGGTTCCAGAGGGAACCCTTAGCTGTCACCGTGCTGTAAAATTCCATCACAGGCCTGAGGAACCCTGGGTCCTTGCTGCTGGTGAAGCTCATCAGAGCCGAGGAGGAGAAGGAGGCAGCTGTGGGACCCACAGGGGACACGACATAGATAGGACAGCAGAAGTAGCAGAGCAGGGGACAGCCTGGTCTCACACAGGAAGGGAGGAAAGCGGGTCCCCAGCTCTTCCAGACAGACCGTGGCAACCAAAGTGCTAGAGGCCATGGGAAAGCAGTTTGCCAACTGCAGAGATCCTGATCTTCTTTTAAAAGAATTTTTAAATGTTTTATTTTTGAGAGAGAGAGAGACAGAGAGCGTGGGCAGGGGAAGGGCAGAGAGAGAGGGAAACACAGAATCAAAGCAGGTTTCAGGCTCCAAGCTATCAGCACAGAGCCTGACACGGGGCTCAAACCCACGAACTGCAAGATCATGACCTGAGCTGAAATTGGGCGCTTAGCTGACTGAGCCACCCAGGCGCCCCAGAGACTCTGATCTTCTGACCCTTTGCCTGCTCCGCAGGGAGGGACCAAACGAAGACCCTCTCAATCTTGGACCTTCCTCCTCCACCTGGAGGAGCTCTGACTTTGCCAGCCCAGCTCCTGCCTGCTGTGATGCTGACTCAGGAGAATAGGGAGACAAAGGAGGAGAGGAGAGGAGAGGAGCCCAGGGGCAGATTTGGAGGACAGGCAGATAGGGAGGGTTAGCGTATGAGGCTGTGGGACAGCAGGAGACATGCCCTTAAAGACAGGGCTGTGTTATGACTTTTCATGACTTCATAAAAAATAACATATATTTAAAGCTGTATTTTATGACTCTATTGCTAGAAGGACAAACCACACCCCAGGCTAAATCCATTGTTATGGTGCTCATTTATTTCCTTCTGATGTAAAATAATTAACATAAAAACATTTTTGCGGGTCTATTAAAAAATTTCATGGGTCCTAAGCATTGTAGGTACTGGGTATAATGGATAAGACAGCCTTGCTTGAAGGAAATACGCCAAAACGTATATTCTTCAGCACTGTGATTCTATATGATTAATAGCTTTTTCTTGGTTGATCAAAATACTTCCTAAGTGTTCCACAACAAACGTGTATAATAAGCAGTGGTAAAAGTAAACACTAACAAGGCCTCGTACATGCTAGCATGTTCTAAGGGCTGTATGTGTATTCATTCATTTAATGGCCTCTGCAGCCGTGTGGGGCACAGACTGTTATCATGCCCAGTGACAGAGGACTTGCCCCAGGGGCATCTGAACCCAGGCGCCAAGGTGAGAAATTTGTTTCTGCTTCTGCACAGCATTGGGCCCCCACTCGCACGCTCACGCACCTCTCCAGCAGCGGCTCGAGCCACCCCTCGTGGCACTCACAGTGGCAGTCCAGGAAGGTCAGCACTTCACCCTTCGCCGCGGAAGCGCCTAGAAGCCTGGCTCGCACCAGGCCCTCCCTCTTGTTGGCGCGGATCAGACGCACCTTGGGCAGCCCAGACAGCTCATTGGCCAGGCGCTCCTTCAGGTGTTCTGGGGAGGCAAGCGAGACAAGCGGGGTCACCGCCATGCATGCCAAGTGGCATCCTTCCAGGCCCTCCCTAGCCCCAAATGACAACTGAATAGACAGAAGCCTCCTTTGCTCTGCACCTACCTGGGATGTCCTCACCTCACGCAGAACCAAGGCTGGACGTGTACGACGAAGGCCAGGGGTGGGTGGCTGGGGCAGAGGAATCCCAGAACCACCCAGGGCTCCCCGTCAAAACACACGCACACTGAATTGTGTGCTTGAAATGGGTGCATGTGGAGTCTGGATATATCTCAATAAAGCTGTTACCCCCTCAAAAATACATTACACCTTGACTTGCGAACGTTTAAAAATAAAACACACAAAAATTGCCCAACCACAATTTTTCAGGAAAACTGGGTTAATATGCACTTGGTTTATTTATATTAACTAATATGTAACATGTTATAAAATTTTAATTTATGTGGAATTATGTTGACAAATTTTATTTACATTTATGTTAACGCAAATTTTCTCAGGAGCTCATTTCATTTGACACAGTAATAGTAATAATAATAATGGCAGCTACCACTAGAGGGCCTGTTGTAAGAATTACTGTCCAGGTGATTTATATGAACTCATCAGAGCCTCAGAACTTTCCCATGAGGTAGGTACTACAACTATCCCCATTGATAGATGAGAACACTGAGGCCAGAGAGGCTAAGTAATGTGTCAAGATCGCAGAACAAGTGAGCCAAGGAGCCAGGATTTTAACCCAGCAGCCCTGGCTTGAATCCATAGGCTTACTGCTGCCTCCCAGAGCTTTCTTCAATCTCTCAGCCTTGCTAAACAAATGCAAACTGGTTAGGAGGATGCGTTGTTCCCATTTTGCATAAGAAGAAATGAGGCTTTAAAAGTTGAAAGGTCTCATCCACAGCGAGGGCTGGCCTCAGGACTCCAGACTTCACACACAGGTTCAGGGGCAGGAGGCCCTGATTCCCACCCCTCCGTGGGTCAGGTGGAGGTGGGGGGAGCCCATCAGGCAAAATAAAAATGAGAGAAGCCCCCTAATCATTGTGGATGTCGTCTGAAAGTCTTCAATCATCAGCAAAAGGGAAAAGTCTGTAAACTGTTCTAGGTTGCTTCAGTTTGTAAAAATGTTTCCCTAAATATTCTTGACATTAAAAAAAAAAAGCATTTCATTGGTTGATTTTTTTTCATCCTAAATATAACTGCAAATAAGCTGGGAGGAGGAATAAGGGAGGTGACTTCACAAGCAAAGCTAATTGGTGGTGGCTATGCCCAGTAAACACACAGGTGCAAAAAAAAAAAAAATAAAGGGAAAAAAAGAAAATGCACATGTAGCCTCCTTGTACTCTTTATGGATTTGGTCAGCATCCATTCTAGGTCTGTCTGAACTGCCCTCCCATGCCTGGGGAGGGTTGGCGCCCCTGCACGGAGCTCAGACTGGCGTGTGGAAAGGCCAGGGGGAGGGGCAGGGCACAAATCCTGTCATCACGGCTTGAGCAGGCATCTTGTCTGTGGCACAGGTCACCATGATGGAGAGGGCAGCCTCGGCCCCACAGAGACCCACACTTACACTCACGAGAAGAACTGAGCTATGCAGAAGGGGTTCATACCCTGGTCCTGCCTGCTGAGGAGCTATTCAATCCCACGAAGATCAAATAAATAATCTGATCCTTGCTTCTGAATGAATACATTTCTGAAATATTGGGGGTACTCTACATTTTGTTAATATTTCATAAAAGTACAGGTACGACAATATGCCAGGCACTGACGTAGCATGTTACCTGCCTTTATCTCATTTAATCCTCACTGTGACTCTGCGAGCTAGGGATGAGTATCCCACTTTATAGGGGCTGAAGCCAAGGTTGACGCTGGACTTGCTCAAGGTTGAGTGGCTGCAAAGTGCTGGAGCTCGGACCAGTGCCAGCACAGATTTAAAACAGCCCCAGGAGGAGAGGATCAAAGGAAAGGGAGATGAGTACCTACTACGTGCTGGCCGACGTGAGAGTCCATCCTATGCCTGATCTCATTTGTTCCTCACCACTCTCTGATGTAAGTGTGGACAAACCCATTCACAGATGAGAAACTGAGGCTCAGAAAAGACAAGTGACTTGGCCCAGGTGCCACGACAGGTTCACGGTAAAGTTCACCTCTGACCCAGGTGCCCTGACCCCAGAGCCCAGTGCCTAATGGGCTTCATGCAGCATCAAGCCCCAACTGTCGCCGAACACCCACCACGGAAGCTACAGTTCCCAGCCTCCCTTGCAGCTAGGTGTGGCCAAGTGACCCCTGCTCTGCTCCATGGGATATGAGGGCAACTTTCGAGTTTAGCTCTCCAGCCCCATGAGATCTTCCTGCCGATAAGAGCGCGCAGAAGGTGAAGAACCAGCCCGGGGCACGCAGACCGGGGCAGCACAATGTCCTAGAGAATGTGGAGATACAGGGCAGAAGGAGCCAGGCCCCAACACTGTGAAGCCGCCACACCAGCCCTAGACCATTAGGCGAGCTTTGTGATGGGAGAGGGATCATTTTTTTCCCATGTAAATCACTGTTGTTTAGAGTCTCTGTGAGAACGGCCAAACACACCCACCAATTAGGACACATACTCCAAGCTTTGAAGTCGGACGGACCAGACAGAGCCCGAAACAGCAAGATGCCCACGAAGCAGTAGCTGCTGCCCTTCTGTGTGGCCCACGGATGGTAATTTGGCTTGAGACTAACAACTCAGCCCACGGCTCTCCCTGTTGCTATGACCCTGACATTTCCCCTCAGCTGAGCTTAGCTCCCCCAGTTCAGCTAGTCACATGGCATGTGGCATGACCACAGCAGCCCCTCTACCCCACTCCCATCCATCGGCCATGCCCCACATGGCAGCACAGTGAGCCCAAGACTGAGCGACCTTCCTGTCCCCCCAGCAGCCCTCAGACGGCTCCCATCAGGCTCATACTTATGCCTAAACCCCCTTATGGCGGCCTCCAAGGCCCTGCCTGGTCTGGCCTCGCCCACCCTGGCACCTCATCTGCCGCATCACCTCCCCACTGGCCAACGGTCTGCCCTGCAGAATGCCTGCGCGGCCCAGCTTCTTCCTGCAACTGGGGCCACTGGGCTGCCTCCTTTACATCCTAGCTTTTGGCTTAAAACCACTTCCTCAGGGAGGCTTCCTGCCCTCCACCAGGCTAGAGGAGGGCCCGTCCCCAAGCTCCCCTTACTCTCCTGCTCTTTTATTTCACAGCACTTTGTCCCTTGCTGTAGTCCACCTGCTATATTGCTATATTATGCTATGCTATTTTGTATTGTGTCATGTCATCGTGTATTATTCTTTACATGTTCATTGACCATCCCCACCCACCTCTCCACCCATTAGAATGTGGGTTTTACGAGAGCAGGGACTTGTCTTGTTTCCCACAGAATCCCCGGTGCCTAGAATGGTGCCTGGCACAAAGGTGGAAGCTCAAAATATGTTCGCTGAATAAATGGAGTGCTGACTCTGGACTGCATGTGAATTGCTGGACCCCAGATCACCGGTCAGGCCTATAGGGATATGGGTCACTCTCTCAATGGAACGCCTCTCCCTGGATTCAGTTCTTCTCCTGTCTGGGCTGCCCCTTTTCGATCTCATCTCAAACTTAACAAATCCAAAGCCAAATGCCCCACTTCTTTTCCCAGACCTGTCACTCCTGCCCTGGGTGGCTTATCTAGCTCTGGGACAGCAGCACCATTCACCCAGAAACCCATTCCAAGGGCCTGCAGGTCCCCCAGATGCCACGTCTCAAACACCCCTCCACCTCCTCCCCTTCCCTCAACTACCACCAGACTCCCAGCCTCCATCTCTCACCTGGGCCACCTCTACAGCCCCCCGGCCTCCCTGCAGAGCTCCCCTGTACACAGTTCTCCACCCACAGCCTAGAGGGATCCCTCAAAGGGCAAAACTGCTCTCCTGTTTAAAACACTGCCCTAGGGGCCCCTGGCTGGCTCAGTCAGTTAAACAGCCAACTCTTGGTTTTGGCTCAGGTCATGATCTCATGGTTCGTGAGTTCGAGCCCCACGTCAAGCTCTGTGCTGACAGTGTGGAGCCTGCTTGGGATTTCTCTTTCCCTCTCTCTCTGCCCCTCCCTGGTTTGCTTGCTCTCTCTCTCTCAAAAAAAATAAACATAAATTAAAAAAAAAAAAAAGTCCTGCTTTGTTCTCCCCACCCTCAGGACAAAGTCCCGACGCCTCGGCCTCGCATGTAACGCCTGCACCCTGCCCCATGTCTCATACCTCTCCTCCACCTGCTGGTCCTCCGTCCTTCCTGAACTACCTGCAGAGCCTATCATGCAACACTGTGACTCGGAGGCTTTCCACATTCTGTGCCTCCACTTAAAACACCCTCTCTCCACCTCTGCTGCCCACATACTACTTCAAGACTAAGGTCAGCCATTCTTCCTGAGTGCTCTGTCTCCTGTAGCACCATGTGGTAGAGCCCTCTGTCCACACACCTGCATCCCAGCAGGCTCCCAGCTCCTGGCAGGGGCGGGGCACACGGAGACACAGAAAGCCTGTCCTCCTGGGGCCCATTCCACCCCTCCTGAGTCGCACTCTTGCCTCCCAGGCACTGCTCTGGGAAGCCAGGCCCCTCCAAGAGCTCATGTGGAGGGCTCACCTCTGTCACTGTAGTCATCTACGAGGATGACTTCTTCTAGCAGCATGTCCGGGGACGTCTCGAGGACACTGTAAACTGTCCGGAGGAGAGTTGACCAGGCTTCATTATAAAACGCTATGACAACAGATGTCGTGGGCAACTTGTCATAAGCATATTTCTTCTCTTTGCACCTGCAAATACAACACAGCTTCAGGGAATCGAGAATCCACAGCTGACTGTGTGTACCAGGCCCAGGCTGGTCCTAGGGATGGAGGTGTGAAGGGGACACAGGTCACAGTCCTGAGACCTCCTCCTAGGGAATGGAAAATAATCTGGGATCTTCCAGAGACCCCAGTGTTCCTCTAGGAGCCCCAGCGGAGTCTAAGAAAGGTTCTAAAATGACACCAAGAAGCTTGAACCGTGGGACACTATTTTGAGGCTTTAAAGCAAATTTCAGATTTGAGCAACATGCAAGCTAAGCAGACTCAGAAGGGAGGACGATGGCCACCTCCCCCTCCTCAGCACCTCTCTCGTGGGTCCTCTCCCTTCTGATTCCACTGCCAGACCTGTGCTCAGACCGTGCCCTCTGCCTGGAACGTCCTTCCCTCATTTCTCTACCTGGAAAACTCTCTGTCCTCTTTCGAGAACAGCTCAGCCCCATCCTCTCCCTGGGACAGGCTGTGGGGGCAAATGCTCGCTTCTGGATGCTCCTCGGGCGCCTTGCCCACACGCGCGCCTCTGGTCCAGCAGGTGTCAGTCACAGCACTCTGGTTGCTCACTGGCATCTCACTGCCCTCTCCGGCACGTTACCCGGGCAGCAGCAATGCTTACAAAGGTGGTGTGTGCAGAAACCAGAGCCACTGCTAGAATGTGCAAACAGTCCAGAAGGGCTGCATAAAGGACACTGACCACCCCCCTTCCAGTACCCACCCCGCCCCTTGCCCCACTCTGTGGCCTCCCGGTGGGGGTGGGGGCATGTGCCTTGACTGGCGGTGATAGGAACCAGTAAGTTTCCTCTTTCTTTAGTAGGGTTTCCAGCTACTTCCTAAGGAGTTTCCCTAGTTGACAGAGAATTCTCTTCTCAGAGTGGCTCACGAGAAACTCCCAATGTCATCCCAGGGACTGGGCCGTGCCTGGAGACCTTCCATAGGAAATGGCAAGAGAGGGGAGGAACAGAACCCCAGAAGGGCACCCACAAGACTGGGCTGGAATGCGGGGCTGGCAATGCTAGAAGAGCGTACATGCTTGAAGACCAGCCAGCCGGCCTGGGCAGAAAGGGAAGACCTCACAGCAGGCTGTGCAGCACGTCAAAGGGACACAGAACCAAGCAGGATGAGGAGTAAAGCTAGATCAGCCAACTGCCGGTACCAGGCAACACGTCAGCGGGCCCTTACCCGTCAGTCACCAAATATTTCCTGATCACCTACTATGTGGATTAAAAAAAAAAAGCCCCCGGGCTTACATTCAAGGGGACAATGATCAAATAAGCAAACGTATCAGTAATTTCAGAAAGTAATGGTGCTATAAAGAAAAGCAGGGTGCAAAACAGAGCAACTGTGGAGGGCAGTGGGAAGGGGGAAATGGAGCAACCACAGAACAGGTAATCAGGGAGGGCCTCTTAGAGGAGGTGACATTGAGGAGGAGACCTGAATAATGCAAAAAAGCAGAGAAAAAGCCCTTTATGTATCCACTTTATTTCTTGTGGTTTTTCTCCTTTTGTTTCATCATGAATTTTTTCAAACATTATAAGGAACTTCTGGGACCTTTTGCCCAACATCAACAATTCTCAATGCATGGTGTATCTTGATTCATCTATGCCCTCACCAGACTAGGGTTTTTTGTTTTGTTTTGTTTTGTTTTGTTTTATTTTGTTTTGTTTTGTGTTTCAGAGAGAGGGAGAGAGAGAATCTCATGCAGGCTCCACACTCAGCTATCCCATGAGTCGTGAGATCATGACCTGAGCCGAGATCAAGAGTCAGATGCATAACTGACTGAGCCACCCAGGCACCCCATCCCAGACTAGTTTAAAGCAAAACCCAGAATATCACAGCATCCATGAATATTTCAATCTATCTAAGATATAAGGACGCCTTTTTTTTTTCATAATAAAACACAATACAACTGAGACATCTTAAGAAGTTACCAATTCTTTACTGCTACCATATCTCCAGCCTGCAATATTTCATAAAAATTAAAGACGCCAATGTTTGGAACACACACCATTCTTTTAAGAACCTCTAAGGACAAGTGTTGCTTATCCTAACTGGAGGACGCATTGATTTTAAGATACATCCAAATCTCAGAGATGCTTCAATATGAAAAAAAAAAAAAAGACTTAAAATTAATGAAATGTCCTACTTCATTTAACTCTCAAAACCACTTTCAGGGGCGCCTGGGTGGCGCAGTCGGTTAAGCGTCCGACTTCAGCCAGGTCACGATCTCGCGGTCCGTGAGTTCGAGCCCCGCGTCGGGCTCTGGGCTGATGGCTCGGAGCCTGGAGCCTGTTTCCGATTCTGTGTCTCCCTCTCTCTCTACCCCTCCCCCGTTCATGCTCTGTCTCTCTCTGTCCCAAAAATAAATAAATTAAAAAAAAAAACAAACAAAAAAAAAACCACTTTCAGTGTTGGCATGTATTGTTCCGCTTGGAAGGCCAGGCTCAGAGAAGTGGGATAACTTGGGCGGTTCACAGAATGCCTGTGAGCACGTACCTGGCCGGGGTCCTCATGTCCAGAGGCCCGGTCGTAGGGTTGTGGCTTGCCCCCGGCCGGATGCTCAGGTGGGCCATCTGATCGAATGAAGAGCCCTGCACCACACCTCCCTGCCTCGCCCTCCTCCCTCCCAGGGTCTGGCTCCAGGCCCTCTTCCTAAACTCCAGGGCAGTCTCTGCAGAGAGCTCTGCTGTCACTGGGAGGACCCTCCACATGAACAGGCGTATCCTGGAGACTCTGTTAGAGGCTGGCTCTTCTCAACCACACTCACATCCTCGCTCGTGCTGCGTTTGCAGGCACTGCTCTACACGCTTGAGTCAAAGTCAGCTGAGGCTGGAAGCATAACAGCTCTGGTGTCCTAAAGCGACGACAGGGCATCCCCAGCAGCCCGAGCAGCGGGACGCGAATCCTTGGACACCAAGGGCTTCTGATTCACAGAAGTGGTTACTACTTAGCACTGTGCTCCACAGAGGGGAGTCCAGCCCACACTCAAGGGGAGGAGAGGCAGGCTCCATCCTTTGAAGGGGATGATTGCCAAGAATGTGTGGATATATTTGAAAACCACCACGCAGGGATAGAATGCAGAAGTGTGACAGTACGTGTCCTCCAACACCAGGCCCTAAGACACTGAGGTTCCCTCTTTGTTCCCTCCCATGGACCATCCATCCTGGGGAAAGCCAGTTCCATGCAGTGACGCGAGTAGACTCAAGCATCCTGTGGAGAGGTCTCTGTGGCGAGGGACCGAGGCCTCCAGCCAACAGCCAGCCCCAACTTTCCAGCATGGGATAAGCCCTCTTGAAAGCAGATCTTCCAGGCCCAATCAGGCCATGAGATGATGAAATCCCCAGGCAGCATTTGGATTGCGATCTCATGGGAGATCCAGAGCCAGAACCACCCGGCTAAGCCACTCCCGAATCCCTGACCCACAGAGATTATGTGAAATCACAAATGTTTATTGTTGTTTCAAGTCACTAAGTTTATAGTACGGCCTATGCTGAAATAAATCACAAGGAAACTTTCAGCCAAGCCCAACGGAGAGAGATGTTTTATAAACCAGTAAGCCTGTACTTTAAAAAAAAAAAAATGCTAAAATGCCAGTGTCCTAAGAGACAGAGACAGGGCTAAAGAGACACAACAACTAAATGTCGCCCTTGATTCTCAATTAGATAGCAGGTCCAGGAAAAATAAAGCTGCTCCAAAAGTTGGCACAGTTGGAAAAATCCAGTATTGTATAAACTTTCTTAATTTGAGAACTACATCATGGTATCATGAGAGAATGTCCCTGTCCTTAGAAAACGCATGCCGAAGGAACAAAGGCTAAAAGGTATTATTGCTAAAACTTACTCTCAAATGTGTGTAATAGTATATAGCACACGTAGAGAGAAAAATTAAGTACATGGGGCAAAATAATGAATGGATCTAGGGGAAGGACGTACAGGAGTCTGTTCTGCTATTTTTCTAGCTTTGAATTTTCTCTAGCTTTGAATTTTTCAAAATTAAAAGTGTAATAAATTAAGAAGAAAAAGGGAGCCCCTGGATGGCTCAGTCAGTTAAGTGTCTGACTCTTGGTTTCAGCTCAGGTCATAACCTCACAGTTCGTGGGATCAAGCCCCATGTCAGGCTCTCCCTCTCTCTCTCTCTGCCCCTCCCCAGCTTGCGCTCTCTCTCTCTCTCTCTCTCTCTCTCAGAATACATAAATAAACTTAAAAAAATAATCTTTCTTTGTGAATATAAAAATGATGCATGTTCATTGTGAATAATTTCAGAATGCAGGAAAATATAAAGAAGTAAGAATCAGCAACAAGCCCACTGCTCAGAGATCTCCATTGTTAACATTTTTGGCATATTTCTTTCTATTGTTTATTGTTTGTGTGTGAGCACATGCTCACACACACTGCTGTTTATAGATCTGTACCCTGCTTTTTTGATTTAATATGATAGTGCAGTTATTCTTCTGTACTGTTAAAAGAGTCTCTGAGAATGGGTTTTGGATAGTCTTTGTAGCATTCCTTCATGAACCTGCACTACATTTCACGTTTTCTTGTCGGACCTTTGGAATTATTTACAGCTTTTTGCTATTATAAATAATGTTACAGAGAAAGATTGTTACTACAAGCGTCCTTCTGGGTTATCTCTGATTATTCCCTTAGGTGAGAAATTCTTAGATGTATTATGACATGATATTAAAAAGAAGAGGAACATTTTGAAGCTCTGAGTAATAGTGCCAAATGTAGCCAGTGCTCTTATGATTTGAAGGGACACAGATAGAGTACCTGGACATTCTAGAACAGTGGCCTTGGGCTTCGGGGTTTTGCAGAGCAGCAGAAACATATAAACAAAAACATCGAGGAGGGACTGACATCTGGTCCCAGCATTATTTGGTCAAGCGGATATCTTTCTACCTTCCTACTTATTCTTATCATGGGAAGAAAGCCATTTTAATACCAACAGTTAAGGATGTGATTTTATACTAAAGGACCACTGTTTACATTGAATAAACCTCAGTTTTGAAAACCTAATTTTACTGTCCTTCTTTCCATTCATTTCTCCTTGGACCTATGTACATTTGGAACTAAATTTTAGTTTTGTTTTTTTTTTTTTTTTGATAAAAAAATCTTTATTTTTAGGTTGCACAGAAACACATTTTTTTTTTCATGGAGTATAAGCAATTAATTCTTTCTAAAGCTTCTAGCGGGCTGTGGCTCGGCATGACATAGCCTCTCCATGAGCCGTGTCTACTAGTCAGGGGCTTTTAAAATGCAGATACACCTATTAATATTTTATATACGTATATATGTTGTCTATTTGTTACAACATATATCTGCAGGAGAGCAGCTGTTTTGGTAGAAGCGGGAAGAGTGAGGTAGGAGAGGGCCTGTGTCAGGGCCACTAAGCTTGAGTTACCTATTTTTGGAATCAGAATCAGCTTAGCCCTTGGATATAACCTTTGCACCATTAACATTATTTTCTTCTTCTTTTTTTAAAATTCTATTTATTTGTTTTTGAAAAAGAGGGCACGAGAGAGTGGGGGGAGGGGCAGAGAGAGAGAGAGGGAGAGACAGAATCCCAAGCAGCCTCCACACTATCAGTGCAGAGCCCAAGGAGGGGCCCGAACTTACAGACTGTGAGGTTGTGATCTGAGCCAAAATCAAGAGTTAGATGCTTCACCCACATGCCCCCAAAAAGATGAATTTTAAAAGGCTGGATCATATTTCTTTTTTTTTTTTTTTTTTTTTTTTTTTTTTTTTTTTAATTTTTTTTTTTTCCTAGGCTGGATCATATTTCTTTAGTAACACATAGCAAATGTCCTCATCGAGCAGTAATTTCATATTCTGACCGCTCCTTTTTTCTTGGCCTGGTATAGTTTCTCCTCCTTTCTTTAAACATACCTTACAGGCATCGTCCTTTGTGAATGTTCAATATATCCTTCTGGAAGTTTGTTTCCAGGAAAAACACTTTCCCTTTTCCCTCTTTTTCAAAGCAAGGTTCCAAAAGTTCAGATTGCAAAACAAATACTGCTGAAAAAAATATGCAATTTTCTTTCATTGCATGATCAAAGCAACTTGAATGACTTTTATAAATGTCCAGGTCTAGCCTTCTAGAACTGTGAATTAACTAAGTCTTTCCTTCAGTTCTCCAATTTTTCATTTTAAGTCAATTAACCAAAAAAAAAAAAAAAATTATTGAAAACCTCTATGTGCCCTTCCCCATCCCAGGTGCTATGAAGGGATAGAAAAGAATTATGTGGCATTTCTCATTCTCCTCCCAACCAAAAGCAGAGCATCCTTTAATGAGACAACAACAGCTATGCATCCATGCCTCAGGGTTCGACTTTTGCCTAGGGGACAAAAGGAAGCTCAGAGTCAAATTCACTGCTAAATCATAGCAAGCCATCCTTTCTTTAACATTCTGGTATAATCCATGTGTCTTGTAAGGGCAGGGGGTGAATTGTGGTTTTTGCTGTATTTTCTTCATGCCTTGTACTGTACCTGGTAATAATAATAACATGTATTGAGCGCTGACTACATGGTAGGTGGTGTGCTAAGCATTTTACAAGCATTATTCCACTTTCCCTTCCCAGCAACCCAGTTGGGCAGGGACTTCCATAAACTCTGCTAGCATAACATACAATTACGTATTATACAGATGCGAATGAATGGGTGCAGTAAATGCCTCCTCGTCTTCCTTTATCTTTATATTCAGGTTACACATAAAAGTCTTTTGAAAAAATGAAAATCCATACCTGTTGCAGAACAGGCCAAGGAGGTCACAGTGTACCTTGGTGGGTTCTGCCTGCCCAGAATCCTTTCTCCTTTCTTCACATTCCTGCACTTTGAGTTCCCTTTCATGAACCATGTCTCCCAGACTCGCAGGCCATGTGGTCTGCGCAAGGCTGAACACACACACATGCGCACACACGTGTGTATACACACACCCCTCTGGGAAGGTCACATGCCCCAGGCCTGACCAATGAACATTTTTTGCCTAATGACACCAGTTGAGTCCCTGAATCCAGGGCCCAGAATAATCTGAACCTAGTCCCAAACCCAGACTTTCCTGTGATAGAAGCCAATATATTTTCTTTTATATTCAAGTCAGTTCGCATTTTGCACTGGGTTTACAGTTATTTTCAACCAAATGAACTATGACTAATAGAGGAAATAGGTTTTGTGTTTTTTTGTTGTTTTTTTTTTAAGTGAATGTAAGACTTCCACTCCGGACAATATGGAAGATTAAAATGTCTGGGGAAACCCTGTTGGAAAAAATTTTTGATAAAATACTTCTTAAAAATCTTGTTTATTTATTTATTCATTATGAGAAAGCCAGAGGGAGAGCACACAAGTAGGGGAGAGGGGTAGAAGGAGAGAGAGAGAGAGAGAGAGAGATTGACTGATTATCTTAAGCAGGCTCCATGCTGAGCACGGAGCCCAATGTGGGACTCAATCCCACAATCCAGGGATTATGACCTGAGCCGAAACCAAGAGTCAGCTGCTCAACCAACTAAGCCACCCAGGCGCCCTTAAAAAAACTCTTTTAGGGGCGCCTGGGTGGCGCAGTCGGTTGAGCGTCCGACTTC